ATGCAAAATTATGGATACCATATTTGGAGAAGATTGCAAAATTCTTAGGAGGAAAATTTAGCATTAACAAAATGAATATCCAGTTAGAAATGGAATTATGGAATATTTGTAATATTGAGATTTTGGGGCAAAGAACATTCAAAATTTGTTTGCTGATTATGCAGTGTTGTGGAATTATGGGTAAAGTTTTCATCATGTTTGCAGAATTACGGGTGCCCATTTTTTTCTGAAATGTGTGGAATTTTGGGTCCAAATTTTGAACAAAATGGCACGTCCCGTCCAAAACTAGGCTTAGTTGACCCCCCTGAGTGTGTAGTACAATAAAAAAAATGAAACACTTGATGTTGTAAATACGTTGAGTCATGCGGGGATTAGAAGTGAATGGAGAGAATTCAAATAATTTTTTATAGCCTTGAACAGAAGGGCGCTTGCGAAAAGCGTGGAGAGTGGAGCAACGAGAATCCTTTGTCACGAATTAGCAACCCCTATCTTCCTTTTGTTTCCAAACGACCATGCCCCTAAATGATTTTTATCATTCCTACAGCACTTCACTGATTGAAATAAATAGATCATACTTACATGAAATTCTTTTGCCTCTATTCTTTGATTAATATTCCTAAATGCCATCATTAAGAATTCTGACTGACATTGCAACCCGCGGTCTTTAGTTTCTTTTGCCTCTGCCTCGTTTCCTTCCATCGAATGCATGAGCTCCATTACCTCTAACTCTAGGCTACCCACTTTCCTTGCCTGGTCTAGATAGCTCTCTTTTGCTTCAATCAGTTTCTTTTCCATCTCAGAGATATCCTTAACTTTGGCAATTCGCTCAAGATTGATTATCCTAAGTGTATCTTTATGTCTCTCTCGTCTTGTCTCGATATGTTGCAGTTTGTATTCCAATCTCTCTCGTTCTTTTGCTACATTTAAAATGTCTTTCCTAAGTTTTGTGATGACCTGTGTATAAGAAGAAGGAATAAATACATTAAAAGAATAATGAATAAATACATTAGAAGAATGAATAAGTTATTTCGTAGTGCTCTTATAATGTGATTGACGTAGATGTCAACTGTACTCTGCCAACCAACAGGTGGTACAGCAAGGCTAACTGAAGGCTGTTCATTTAGGAAGAAGCCGCAATAAGTACATATGATCATAAAATGAAGAAAATTATTGGTTGGTTGGCAGAGTACAGTTGATATAACGTAGATGCATCGCTCTACTCTCTAGGCTATCCCTCTGCTAATACGAATAGAGTTCTTAAGTGTGACGTCACAAAAACTATTTTTAGAATTTTCCAATTTTGACTACATAACAGAGAAGAGCAGCATAAAATATTCCAACACATGCAAAATCAGTTAAATTTGTTAAAAATCGGGTGAGCTATGGCCAATACATGATTTGAAGTTTGCTAACGGATTACTGTTATTTTGGCTCAGTCCATAAAGTAAGGGCCAAGTAATGAACTGAGACCAAATTACAGAGGCTTGATGGGGTCAGAGCTTGGACTCATCTGGTAATATCTCAGCCAATTCGTAATACCCTTAACTGATTTTGCAGATTACGAGGAATTTCATGATGCTCTTTCAGGTTAAGGGAACACTTTCAAAAATTCTAAAAATGGATTTTTGTGACGACATCACTTGACAACTCTATCCTATTCCAATGTCACCGACAACAATCAGACTCCTTAGTAGCCTGCGCCACAGACCATAACTGAAGAGGTCTGTGACGCAGGCTTACTTCTTCTGAGACAGATATTTCAAAGAGACATCATCTGAATAATCAAAAAGTTAATATCCCATTACTAAGCTCCACTTTGAATAATGTCTGCTTTTATCATTGTTAATCTTCTTATTTATGAGAAGGCATTGTGATTTAACAAGTTTTGTTATATCATAAAAAAATTTGAAATGATATAATGAATTATCATTGTAATGGTAGATACTTGATGACAGAGATTAGCTATTTTCGCATAAAATGTGTCAATGTTAGCACATCAATAATATGCAGCCAGTATTTTGAAACTGCATGATGTTAAAAAGGGTAAGCGGCCTATTTTTGGCAACTTCAAAAGAACATTTACAATTACACAAGTATCCCGAAAGCTATACGTAAAAAGAGAAATACCTGCGACAATTTCTCAATGTTTGTCTCACTCAGGACCATGCTAATTATACTATTTTTGCGGTTATCTTTCTCTTTCTTTAAATCCCTTTCTAGATTTTTCAACTCCGCCTCCTTGACCGCAATTTCCTCAATCAGCTTTGATCGATGACTTTCATTTTCAGAAATAAGCACCAAAACATCGTTAGTGTGAATTTCATACTTCTTTAAATCCTTCTCTTTTATCTTCTTTCTTGCCAAAATTTCCAGCAGTAATTCTTCCTCTGCGCCTAAACGGCAATTGATGACGTCAAAAGCAACACTTTTTCTAGAAAGTTCGTCATTTTCGCAAAAAAGCTGTTCTTGTTTGTAGTTGATGGCAACGAATTGTCTTTGTATCGTCTTCTCTAGTGCATCTAGTCGATTCTGAGTTCTGTTATCAACAGATTCTAGAAAAGGAAAGAAAAACATCAGGTTTAGAAGTTATTCATAATGAAAGCGTCTCGAAATTCCAGCTTTCTTCGCAAAGCTCTCACAAAGTAAGGAGAAGTCTGGTCTCCCACAAGAGACCAAGGACGAAAGTACAGTTTAGGCGATCGCAGACCTGTCAACCTTAAAATTTTCAAAACCTGGAGATTTTAGATTTTTCCTAAAGAAAAACAGGGAGATTCGGTCAAAAACAGGGAGATCACAGTTAATGGAATAAATATACCTGATAAAATGTTGTGCTCGGCAAACAGTTTATGACAAAAGTGATCAAGAGAAGTATCTTCATAATAACTTTTAGTGTTTTTTTGTTAATCAGTTAGCACTAACAAAAAACTGTTGTTATGTGGAATTCAATGTGACCATTATATCTTAATTATACCTCTGTAATAAGAAAACATACACAATGGACCTGTATTTGAAGCATAAGATGCGCAGTTCAATCGAACACCAGCAAAATGATTGTAGGACGTTGAAACCAATTGGAACCCCTAATACTCACGTTTTGATCCTTCGGTCATAAAGTCACTGCTCTCCCTTTTTCTGGCCACGTATTCTGTTAATATGTCCTCTAACTCATGGAGTGATGCATTACGCAGAATTTTTTTAAAAAACATCAATTTGTTGTCGTTCAAGAAACCATTGTTATAAAGTAAGCCAACCAAGTCTTTACCCGTGTTCACTTGACGTAGAATATCCTTACTGAGATGTCCCTTGAGTTCATGTTTCATTTTATGAACTCCGGGAATCGATATCATCTTTGCAAAAGTATGGAGAAGAAGCTTAAATGTTGCAATGTCCTTGTCTTCCATGCCTTCCATGGTTGTCTTGTCCTGACCATGTTTACACTGCCATGCGACAAGCTTCTACAAAGTGATAAGATATTGTTGCCCCTCTTTGCTATGGAGACGATGTAATTAAATTTACAAATGAATCGCGAAGAGAGATTATTATCGGCAAAATGCCTTTGTCTAACGATAAAGAATAATATGGTTGAGGTGTTACCGTATGAACCGTTGCCAATTGTGTGGCAATAACTATGGCTATTCTTTTCAAGACGTCCTGGTGTTTCTGTCTTTCCCGCGAGACCAAGAAATGAGATTCGGCTGGTCCCAAGAAAAGGCATACATATTAACTTCTTTAATTTCTTTTCAATACGTCAAAGAAGCGGCAGCCCTTTTCTGTACAGAAATCTACATTTCCTAGCTTGTTCTGTTTGTGGTCGAGGCAAGCACCGAGAGATGTGACGTTTTGAAAAGCGTAGAGTCCTTGGGGTGGGGGGGGGGCGTTGGTCTTTTTCTAATGTGGTGTTTTTAAACTTAAAAAAATGATAACTACTTTTCATTTTCTAACAACATAATACATAAAACTCGGAGAATCCTGGCAGAAATGTAAAATAACAACCAATTAAATACTATTCATCATCTCAAATAACTTTTTGATCTTTTTTAACAAAAATTATTTACATTTACAAATTCAATATTCAACACTGTTGCATCTACGTTTGTCAAAGTACTTCTACGACGAGGAACGTGACTTCAGATAAAACCAACCAAATGTAGGATCGAAATCCCTTTCTTGATGTCTGGGCTGAATGTGACTAGGCTGGCCGGGAAAGGCCTGGGCTGAATGTGAGTTGGCTGCGTGTGTTTGTTGAAATAGCGGTTCTAGCCACACAACGGACTTTGACTAGTATATTCACAAATCTTTCTTCTTAAATAATGGGAAGTATGATTACATTATTCGGGTCTACAAATGTCAAAATTATTTTTGGTTCCTTCTGTTAACCACACCGTGGTACATTGGCACACAGAGATAACTTAGGAACAAATAACAGGACATTGATAATTATGAGATATATAATAAGGCATGGATAACTATCGTCTCGTGTTTATCTATAGGTCTTCAGGGCAAAGGGGAGGAAGGAAGGTGTTGTGTGCTGTTCTTCTAACAGCAATTGACCGCAACTTATGGGTGTCTAAAGGCTTTTAAAAACTTATAAATTAGCTAGTTTTCTTGTACAGATTGAATATTTAAAAAAAATAAACAAAGAAAGCAGATTTCAAAGCCTCTACGCCATAATATTTTTTTGAGGATCGCTCCTTAAAAAAATAAGCAGGAAAGAAATAATTTCTGGCCTAAGAATAAATCCAAAAAGCAAATTTACATAGCTCATACAACCAAAATACTCTTAGTTTTGGATTAAGTGACGTATTTAACAAGTTTTTGTCCAAGGTTTAACTTTATTATATTCGTAAGGAGCCTAATTCTTGAGCTTTTTGGCATCGTGCCCTACTACTAACCTCAATATATTAGATCAATTCTTGCTGCTATATATATGCTTTACAATCCCAGCATTTCTTCTTACAATATAATAGAGCAACATCCCAATTATGTCTCAAATCTCTTATGTTAGACTTTGAGGTATTCATGGCTTTTGAGGTCGCCTGGTATAGGTAGGCTTTCATGCAAGAAACTCCAAGTTTTCAGGTTAATCTTTGAAACATGATGAATTTCAAGAAACCATGGAAACAGGGGTCTAAGGGAGCTTAGCCTCCTAATGATTCTGAGATGTACTTAAAACCCTACACTGACGCCATTTCCTTGGTTTTTGCAAAAAGGCCAAACATTAGTGGGTTTAAGATAACAATTTTTGGCTACCTTTAAGCATAAGATATAGACGCTAAAATAAAACCTTGAGTAAAAGATGGGGCATCTTTTATGTTGAACGAAAGAGGATTGTGTAAGATTAATCTAAAACAGAGTAATTTAATAGTACTTTACTTTTTTCCCGAGACTTCAAACTGAGTAGCCCACAAAACAAAAAGTCTGGTTACTCAAGAAACTTTACAAAGAATCTACAATTCAGACATCATTTTGCTCCATTGATTGTGAAACTAGCCTGAAAGCCTCTAAAAACTCGTTAAAATCGATAAGTCCATCTCTATTTATATCAAGCGCACGAGCAAGGTCATTTATTTTGTCTGGGGGAATTTTGTGATTGGAAAACTGGTTTAGTACTTCACATGAATTTTTGAATTCTTCAAGGCTGATGCAACCTAGAAATGTAAAAAAAATGAAAAATTGTATCAAACAGGAATAGTAAAAAAAAAGGTTGCAGAAACCTTTAGAAAAACCAAGAAATTATTCACAAAGAAATCCAAACTATTTTAAAGTTGAGCCGGAACAACAGCAACAACGTGAAGCAAAGTTTGAATTCTCAAATCAATAAGGTCTGCCAAAAATTGCATAAAGAATCGATATTCAGCTGTACAAGAGAATCTGTCAATGCATATAAACAAAAAATGACAATTTTTGATGCTTCGTGCCCTTACTTTCCTCAGTGGCACAAAAATACTGATAATGTGGATTATCAAGAACTCTGCAACTTTGAATGTTTACAAAGAAACGCTTTCAATCTAACATAACTAATATGTGACTACACAAATCAGAAATGCCTTCGATCAGAAACTTAAAGGTAATATTATATTCAGATGGATACAAAATCTGGACTAATGGGGAAGTACATAATTTACAAAAATGAACAAAGATTACTTTCTTTAAAAATGGAAGCAAATGTGAAATTATTTTCTTACCAGAGCAGTCTTTGTCAATCAGGCGAAACACTGTTTCCAATGCACTTCTGTTTCTGTATAGTACCTCTGACAAACTTGTTAATTGCTACAAAAAGCAAGAGATATGTGAAAAAAAATCTACGGGGTTTATAGAGAAAGTGTTACATTCAAGCAAATGGCAGCCATATCAAGGCTGGGTTAGAGCAATATCAAGGCTGGGTAACTCGCTAAGCGACTGAGCTATTTCTAAAAAATTAACGATCAATGACAGGAATAGTTAAGAGCTTCAGTCAAAATGACAAAAGGGAAAATAGAGTACGTTAAGAAAATAACCACTTACCTGCGGTACAGCAGAATCGAATTTGTATCCTTCTAAGCAAGTCATATACAATATGTTCCCATTGTCATCTGTGGCCACAAGCTTTTCTCTAAGCAATGCCCAAGGCAACTTCAAATGTAATACACTTTCCAAGCAATATGCCCAGTCGTTAAGCTTAATGGATCCTACAAGTAAATAACACATTCACCAGGCTTTGTAGTTGTTTACGTCACTTTACATCAATGTTTGCGGTCCAAAACAAATTTTAAAAAGGGCAAATATTGCTGGGTTCAAATTTGTTATTCTCGGATACGTCAAGTATACACAACTTGTTACCAGCCAGTCACAAATGTCGTTTATTAATGAAATATTTCCGCTAGATACAAAATTGACAATCCCTTGCATTTTCAGGCATTGCCAGAAAAGTTTAGTAAACTTATGAATCATTTAAACAGCTTCTTAGGCAGTATCTTTAGAAACGTTTCGGTACCACTGAATTCGTTTCTGGTTAGTTTTTAAAAACCCCAAATAATTTGGTGTATAAAACAGGACACTTCTGCAACGGAGTCTACAAGGTACAAGACACTTTGTACAAGGCCAGTTGTAAGTAATCTTCATTACTTACCTAGAGTAATCAATCATCATTAATGCAGGGGATATCAATGACTGCAAAGGGTAGTTAAGCAGGCCGACTACCTGAATCACATGACCTTGTCTTTAATAAATACGAATGGCATAATATCGAAATTTCTTACCTGTATTCTCAGTATCGTATTTTTGAAATATGGCTAACAATTCCTCACGGTGATAAAAAAATCGTTCTCGTAATTCCCGTAGCGCCGATTGCTCATTTAGTCCAACTCTGACAAAAAACATAAACAAAGTTGGTTAAAAGAAATTGAACTTGGTTACAACTCCAGCGAAACCAAACAAGGAAAACTAGTCGCTGCAATAACAGCCTGAAGGTAGGCCATACACTGTCGGCATTTCAATGCAGATAAACGGCAGGAAACGCAAGAATACTGTTCAAAACCAATCGCCTTTCAATAGGCAGATATCATACTATGCGAAAAGCCCCTTTTAACCAAGGACCGAGATACCGGGGGCCTTGGCTCCCCCAAAGGAGCATAAGTAAAATACTTTCATTTTGAAAAATATGGCTGTTGTTACACTTATTTATCAGGGCTGCCCCCCCCCCCCAAACAAAAAGTTGTATCCCGGTCTTTGCTTTAAACATTGGTATTTTATTTTAAACATGTACCGATAAAATCAATCAACATCGCCTACATACTGCAAGTAGCATGGCATGCTTTGAAAACAACATCTGATCTTAATCGTGAGCATAGGCCTAAATGTAGCAATGTTTGCAAGCTAGCGTTGATATTCGCATTTGAATGAAATTTGGATATTTTGCTTCAATACAGACAGATTCTTAAGCCCAAATTAAAAGAGGACCTTATCTTCAAAAACGATTCTACCTTTTTGTCACTATGTCTCGGGATTTTCAAGTAAAATTTGTCATATGATTGAAATACTTTCTTTGGACATTGATAAATTTACAATTACGCAATCTCTTTCCCTTGTGCTTGAACCTGTCTACATTTCAACAAAGTGTCCAGAGTTGTGTAGATAGAATAAGAGTGTTTTCACTTGTACCATTCAAATATGCGAGAGGAAAGAATAGCTAATCAAATACGCTACTTGTTTGTCTTAAGTAATTTGCATTGCAACTGGACTTTCTGTCCTTTATCTTGCTCTTCCTGTCCTTTATCTTTCTGTCCTATTATTCAATATCCCCGAGTATTGATAAAATTTTTCAGTATCTAATAATTTGTACCGCTTTCTCCTAACTCTAGGAATATAACAAACCATGCAAATATTTATAAACATTTACCTGCATGTTTTATTTGGAGCTTGACAGTCTTCCATTACAATACTAAGTCTTAATTCAATTATTATAATTAGCTTATTGTTTTCAGTGAATAATTACAATAGCTCACAAGGTGTTTGATTGATGAAAAATGTATCTGACTCACATTTGTTTCAGTGAAAGGGATTTTCTTCCTCTCGTAACAGCAAACTGCACTGGAAAGGGTCTTGAAGATTCATTTAATTTCAAATAAGCACCATAATTACTACCTTCTGCGTAGTAATGAGACGCTGAGAATACAGTTAACACCTATAAAGATAAGTTCGGAATTTGCAAGCTGTACGAGACTGATGAATAAGCTATGTCAAGATAAAATAAGAGATCTCCTATTTTATCTCGGCTATGTGTTATTTAAACATTTTTCAAAAGGCTAGGTCGGTCTCGGTAAACTCAAAGGCAACTGACCCCGAAGTTCAAAATGTAATTAGTTCAAAACATTTTATTCTATAAGACTCTAAGGAGATACGAAAAGCAGGCAAGAGGGAAGCATTCATTTGGATTAGATTATGATGGTTTATAGGGAGCGTGGGTTGGCACCTACATAATTTCAGATGTATTGCCAAACAAAAACCAGACGGCCCCCATACGCCATAATTACAGGCACAACGTTTTGCAGCATTTCCAGTTGATTTGAAGGGATTGTGAAAGGCTAGACACTTTGAAATTTGACCAGTTTTCAGAACAAATTGCAGAAAACACCTCCAATTCCAGAGGCATATTTATCTCATAAACGAAGTTCAAATAAGAAGATAGTTAGTACCAGCTCTATAATTCATTTCTAAAATATAAACTATCAACGGGTTCTAGGAAGAATGTCATTTTGAAGTGAGACTTCAGAGATCTGGAGCTGTTGTTAACTTTTGAAACTGCAACAATAGCGACCAATACAAACAGGCACTTTCTCTTATAACAATACCGGCATTAACATAAGACAATCGATAGAATTGGAGGAAAAGGCAGAGATCCTGCAGTTTGGAAACTTACTGTGTTTGAATGAGCATATTCATAACCTTCATATTTGCACTCGTGGGAGCGTATGATCAAATCCATGTTATGCTTCTTCAAGAACTGCTCAGTTATATCGGGACCAAAAAAACATCCACCCCCACGACTATGATTGAAGACTCGACCAGGGTCAGACTGAGGATCACTCCATAACAAGTCTAGGATCTGTAACAGAACAACGCACGTCATAGACAACAGCTAATAGGCTGGTAGAATCTAAGTAGCATACAGCAAGAGCTTTTACTTATTCATAGATCATTTTACTGCAAAAACGTGTTCGAGGGGAAATAGCTTCAGTTTCTACGATTTATTAATTCTCAGATTCTAAATAAGGTCTTTTACCGCTCATCCGATAAACCAAATATTATCTTAGAAGTCATTATTCAGCTTAGGCTGACAATCCATGCTCAAACACAATTTATGCAGTTGGTTGCAACGTGAAACAAAATAAAGTGATTCAAAATGAGACTTTATTGGAAGGTCATTATACGTATATACTTATTTTCTTGCCACTAGTCAGTGCATGGAAATTTGATGGATTTGCGATCGTATGGTTATCCTTTAGTAAATCTAGTAAAAATTTAGCAAATCAAATCAACGCCAGTTTCTCCTCTAAGGCACATACTAGATTTGGCAAAGTCCTAGAGAAACAACCAAGTGTGTTGTCGTCAGCATAAGGTCATTTTATATACATTGAAAAGAATAGGGCCTAGCACTGAACCTTGGGAAACACAAGATAGGATTGTTTGAAAGGAATTGTACATGTTGTTTATTCTCACAGTGTTAGATTCAGCAACCATTATAGTAAAACATCGATATCAACGAACAACTATTGCACTGGGATTCAAAATAAGAATAATACATTATCAAACAGCTATGTGAGCATAACCAGAAATTTTTATTACATTTTACATTTTTTTACAAGGCAAGAAGTCTAGTTTTCATGAATGCAATGAACAGCGTTATCATTCTTCGTAAAAATTCTGCAGAATAATAACATCAGACCTTTTAGTCAAAAATGAAATCCCCATAGGTTTGGTAAAAATACCTAAACCTTGATGCAGCTACTGGGTACATGAAAGACTAAAGAAATGAATGAATTGATACAGTGTTGGCATAAAAGCGCTTTGCTTCAGCTAAGGCAGAGATAATTGGCAGCATCGAAAAGAATTAGTAAATCTAATGGCAGCTGCATTGTGAATTAGTGAGAGAAATACTCTCGCCTGTAGAATTACAAGCTAATTGAAGAAGCAATCTCTACAAAACGACTGCTATCTAGAAATGTCACGTACTATTTTAGTTGAGAAAAAAATAGAAAGTTAGACTGATAGTGCAGCTGGGAGAAATTGACGCAAGCATATTGCGAAATCTCACATTGCACAAAAATAAACGAAGATTACAGCACAAAAAAATGGTGGAAAGTCATCTATGAAACATAACAAACAAACCCGGTTGTAACAAGACGAAGATTTCGAAATCCATCACCCTAAGGCAGCCATTCTTAAAACTCCGGCCCGCGGGCCAACACCGGCCCGCAGCAAAATTTCATCCGGCCCTCCGAATGCTTTTCACCTCGAAAATATTTTTTGCCAACATTTGGAATTCGATTTATTTTTGGTTTCTTTTTTCCTCTTAAATATTTTTCTTTTTCTCTGTAGTAAATTACAAATGCGTTCCGTGGACCGTTACCGGTCCACAAGAGAGTACCGAAATAGGGAATGCTTTTTTTAATCGATTGATCGTTTTATAGCGTTGAATTGACTGTTTTTTAATTTATTTCTTTTCTCCATCTTACACGCTGTTGTGCAAAGATCATTCTCAAACTTTGTGAGACTTTTCCTTTTTCATGTCAACAGATAAAACTATGGAATCTAGTTATGAAAACCATGAGAATATTGTTTTGGATTTTCCCCCGTTAAAATCTATTTGAGGTGCTGTTTCTGGCCATTCCTAGATTAATATAACCTGAAACATTTTTGCCGCCAACCATGGAGGCGGCCTTTACTAAATTCATCCACAAATAAAAGATTTTCGTTAAAATACGCTGTGCAGTCCCTTGACCTGATTTCAGGCGCTTCAAATCGACCCAACAAGAGACTAACAAAGATTAACGTTCTAGCCTAAAAATAGCATAGAACGATTTTCTGACTCAGCCTGGTGCAAGAAACATAAAGTTACCAAACCTTTGTGAAAACTATCTATTGGGTTTATGCTAAGGTAGAACAAATAGGCAGGCACGAAATAATAGGCATGCCTATCTTATGACTAGCTTAGCCTGGTAAAAATGAGATCTGAGTTTCATTTTGAGCAGCCTTTTAACACAAGGTATGTAAAAGTTGAAAACCAACTGGCCCCCGAAAAAAATCTATATGTTTTTCTGGCCCGGTACTTAAAATAATTAAGAACCCCTGCCCTAAGGCCAACTGGAAGCAGATACTATTGAAGGGAAATAACAAAACAAGGCTTTCCAAATATTTTTTGAGAGTAACAACCGAGTTGCAAATATTGCAAGTAAAAAATACAGCCTTGAATCGCAAAAGAAGAAAAGAAGTGCACATGTGAAATATTTCGTGCTCTCAGGAACGATTTTTTTTAATTTTCTAAAGAAAAAGATTGAAAAAGTTAACCAACCTGCTCCCATTCAGCAACTGCTTCTAGGTTAGGTTGGATGCCTTCTTCAAGAACGATGTGTGATGGCTTTAATACCGATGCAAACTGTAGAATGAGCGATCAAATTTGAATATAGTCAACCTTATTTTTAACATATCCAATTATCAAAGAATAATTTTCCTCTAAACTACCCCCCAGGTAATTAATTGGGAAGCTTGTATAATATATAATATATATCTGTATATATATAATGTGTATCTTTGAATTTTGTAATTTCTTATTTTGCGAATAATAAATGGATAGCCTATGCCTTGTAGGTAAAATTCGTATGGAAAATGGCTCTGAAAAAAGCTTATAACCAAAACAAAAGAAAGAACTGTCTTAGCTACAGTGGAAATCTCCAGGACTGAAAGCAAAATTTATGTTTACATAAACGTAAATAGAATTTAAGGATATCAAGCGTACAGAAAATCGTGATTAATATGACGAACGTAACTTTCAACACATATTTCACGCTAACTTTGAATTCCTTTGGCTATACATAGAAAGATATACTCCGTTTTCCAAATACACCGACAGTATCCTGGCCAAAATTCAAGAGCCTACAGTCTGTCTATTTCTATGGAGCACCTTGTATGAAAAATCCCTTTCTAGGCTGGGAAATATTTAAATATACAAGTTGCCAGGATCATTAGTGATTGTAATTTTTGGCTGTAAATCTATACAGAAGCTCTCTCTGCATTGTTTATTTCTAAAATATTTTCTGTGTTGGAGAACAAATTAAAATAGTTTCGAAATAAAGCGTTGTGGCTCTTTCTCTCCCATATCAAGTGAAAGTACATACTTGAGTAAGAACTTTGGACCCTTAAATGGCCATTTGCGCTAGGGACAAAGAATAAGGAGCAGCCTGACACTTGAAAAAGTAGGCTCAGCCTGGATGGGATTTATTATAATTGTTCCAAGTTTTCACTTGTTTTGATACTGAAGTACAAAACCGTTAACCAGAGATACGAAAATTGTTTCTTTTAGTGAAATCGTTAACACGAAAAATTTTAACAGAGGAGCCAAATCAACACGCTTTCTCCACCCAGCTTGAAACTTGCTTCATAATAGAAATGCAGGTAAATTGAAAGTTATCTCGACCCTGAATAGAATTCTAAAGTCTGACGTCAGGAAAAACTTATTTTTGGAATTTCTGGTTTTTGACCAGATAACTTTATTAACACTACGAAATACTTTAAACATGGAAAATCATTTGGGTATGTTCATAATTGGGTGAGATATGACTAATCAAAGATTTGAAGTTTGCCAACTGATTACTGTTATTTTGGCTTCCTTCATAGAGCTACGAGAAGAAACCAAATTACAGTGATATGGTGGGGAAAAAGCCTGTGCTTATGAGGTCATATCCAATTTCTAAAACAATTAGCTAGATTCGCAAATCTAGAGGTGTTTTGTAATGCTTTTTCAGGTTAGGTGATCTAAATTCAAAAATTTTTTAAATAGATTAAAGGAAATGACGCAAAGAGTTCTAGGACAGAATATCAGACTATTTAAAATCGTCCTAGGTTGAAAAACCTATTCACTTAACAAAGTTGCCAAGAGTCCAGAAACGTCCTTCTTGCCCAAAAAGACGGATCAAAAGCTTTCCCCCTCCCTAACTAGTAGAGAAAATCAGGCATGATTGACGCAGTACATCAGTAGAATCAGTTCGTAGGCCACTGCTCCATTTACCATCTGCTTCCAACTTGAGAGCTAACTCAGACCCCAAATTAATTAAGAATTTCTTTTAAAAAAAGATAAATCTCAATACCTGATATCGCTTTAAACTTTCGATCATGTTGAGATCTGTTTTATCTGAAATCCCACCATGTGCAACGAATATTCTTTTGCTAACAATCGTTGCCAATGGTAACCATGTAAACAGATTTTTACACAGTTCTTTAATCATGGCAGCGTCTTTCTAGACGTTAGGAAAGAGCGCAATTAGTTTTTACAGCAAAGCGAGAATTTTGCTTGATAACGCAATTAAAACGAAAAAACCTTGTTAAGTGAGGTCACAGCAAAGTAATAGATTGGAAGAAAGTCACGTAAAAAGCACATGGCCTACTTATGATAACAAAAACCAAGAAAGTAAATTGGGACTTTTCAAGCACCGTAAATTTTTCCCAATTTAGAATAATTTCATTCATTCTCATGCTGAATGCAAAACTCTAAAATGCAAAGGCAGGAAAGATAGCAAAAAAGTCTAATTACCTTGTATTTATTTTGAATTTCTTTGACAAAACCATACCTGTAATGAAATGAAAATGCTGCAGAAGGGGTTAATTTTCAACGCTCTTAATTAAAATTTCACACTTCATTGACAACTCTTTATTACATTTTCAAATTCGTTGCATCATTTGGCATGAATTTTCAGCAGGCTTTGCTGTATGTTTTAATCCTAAAGGGCATATGTTGCATAGCAGTTGGCTAATACAACACAAGCGTTTGGAGTGGAATTCCATTGTTTCGTGACTTTTCGTTTTTGTCTCATGAATTTTTACTGCTGTGAAGATTCAATCTCGATCCTGTGAATTGTACTAAACAAAAAAGATAATTGTATTGTATTCACGAAACATGTCCTTTAATACAGCAAAAGTGCTTCTATACATATACGTAACTGCAAAAGCAATATTTCCTCATCACCGCATTTCTTGTGCAGAAATACAAAACAAAGAAAGATGTCATACCTTGAGTTCATGAGATAGTCTTCGTGATTGCCACGGTTTAGGTAGACGTCAGAAGGGTACATCAAATAGAAACAACAGAGGATGATAAGAACTTCAATCGAATAGGCCCCGCGGTCTACAAAGTCACCGTTGAAGAGGTACGGATTGTCCGACGACGGTAAACCATTCTACAAAAAATATACAGTATTTAAACTACCGCTTAAAAAATTGATTGAACATCCATTTCAAAGTGTCTATTTCTCTTTCCATTCAGGCAAGGTCTGACACATATAACATAGGAGTGCTAATAAAAGATGGTTTGAAAAAATTGCCAGCAAATTGGGACTGGACACCCCCTTGCGCACAATAGCTAGCGACTGCATTGCTTAGAAATACGGCGCTTGTTGCAAAAATAATGTTTTAATTTCTCCAGCGACCTTGTTGGAATCGCTTATCAAGACATTTGTGTAATTTCTACTACAAAAATACCATGTTCCTTTGAGCACAATACACCGCTATAGCGAGACTCGCCTTTGATTGGCTAAAGTGATTATCCTTTTCGTGGTAGCAACGTCCGTAAACAGCATTCTTATAGGCATTCGACTTAGAAATTATCGTGAAGTACCGATAAAGATTTGATTTCACGTTAAATGCATCGCATTTTGTATCCACTTTTTGATTTATTTATCGCCTTCATTCTTATACGTGACTTTAAAGGCTAGGAGGGTTAACCTTATTCTGTGACAGTAGCTAGCGATGGTCCTGCACTCCTCCATGGGGGTACAGATGAAAGCAGCGTGATGGTAATGGTGCAGTCTAAGAAGTACCCGGGCGATGGGCAATACGTTACATGGTTAGAAGTGCTGGTTGCAGAAAAAAAGGGCAAGATTTACAATAAAAGAAAAGGTCAAACCGAAAGCAACTAGGATGTGCCTAAATAATTGTTCTTAATAAACAGCAGCTGTGTTCGTAGAATCCTTATTGCATTTATTAATTTGTCAAATTTCAGAATTACCTTGTGGAATACAGTTAACAAATCATCCAGTTTTCCATGAATGTCACCTGTGAATATTCAAAACTCGTATGAAACAACATTCATGTGCAAAATGCAAAGGAAATTCTATCAATGTCGCTTTCGGAAGTGGAATGTTCAAAACACGCAATGTTGGAGTTTTTTCAGAACATCGCAAAATTAATAATACATATTTGACGATGTGCAATTACGTAGAGATAAGGTAAAGAGTAAAAATTAGATAAAAAGGTCAAACTAAAGCTTTGTCTACTGAGCTTAAATTTAATAAAAAATTTCGACGAAGAAGAAAAAGGCGGCGCATATCAATATTTTCAATATTTTGGAGCTGGAATAAAATTTTTACTCACAAATTGCTAGGAAAATTGATAATGTCGGTGTGAGCTAGCCTGGATAGAATTAAAGAAATTCTACGCTTGAATTACTCACCGCAAATTGTAATCTGTTTAGATATTCTCAAATTTGCATTGACAACGTTCGGCAGTTTCTGAACTCTTTTGGTAGCTTCCCATATGACGCGTTTCACATACTTTGCGTGTAGAATCTAAAATAAGAAGCACGTGCTACAATTAATGGCTTAAAGTCAGTCGAGATTCGGTCACTGACTGTACAAACATATTTTAGGGCCTTGTTTCATTGGACTTTCCAACATAGTGTTGTTATTGCAGCCCTTTAACTGAGACTGAAACTTAAAATAGCTTTTGGTTGGAAATTTCATTGACGAGAATATATTTTCAATCCATTATCCTTGCTGGCTCTTTAGTACTAGGTACATCCATCAATATATTTTTAGAAAAACCAGCTTGCCCGTGACAATAATTCAATACAAAAATACTGAAGATTCCAGCCTCTAAGCTATAAACATAATCAATATAAAATGAAACAGAATTTTACAATATCGAAAAACATTCAAGTTTAGTAGGGAAAGTAATATGTACTCAAGTTTGGCTTCATGAATTTTTTTGCATGATGTTTTATAATATTGGCAGAAATATTTTAAAACACTTATCAACTTTTGTCACAGGGAATGTCAAAGATAAAACTTTTGATTCTTATGTGTGAGTATTTAATCTATACTTTCTCATAGAAGAAAAGGAAGCACTCCTACGCTTGGCACGTAAAAGCACGCAAAAGCAAGTTGTTTTTCTTTCGCAACTGTCAAGCTGAGATAGTGGGAAGATTTCCGTTTTATTTTTTATAAAGTACAACCTTGAGGCTTGCTTTTAATAAGATATTGCACCTTACTGTTTCAAGAAAACTTGGAGCAGTCGAAAAAAAGAAACATTTTTGTCGAAATTTTCCATTTGCTGCAGTTATCTTCAAAGAGAAAACAAGCTTAACTACTGAGTAACTGTAGAATTAGAGAAAGAATTAAACAGATTAAAAATTTAGAAAATATAAGAATAGACATTTTAAGATAAATTCCCAATTACCCCTTCAGTTAAGTAAGAGCCCACTGTTCCCGGAAAACCGTTTTTTAGACTGAGAGGGGCTTATTTATTCTTTCTGGGGATAGGCAAAGCAAATATTGACATCATAGCTAAAATATTATAAAAGAAAGGCTTTTATATTTATTGACAGGGGAAAAAGACTATTAACTTACCCGACCACGCTTAAAGTGGTCTAGAATTTCCCGTGTTTTGTCTAATGTAAGAGGCATTTCAACATGAGGGCCTTCATACGAGGGTGAAACTACAGTGCTTTCAATATCAGCTGCTATGATCGATCCTTCTTCACTAGCATCTGAATTAAGTGCTGAGTTGCCGTTCAGAAGAACTTCCCTGAGCTGCGATACTTGGCTGTCTGGATGAAAAAAATACACAGTTACTGAGAAAAAACAGAAACAAAAAAAGCTCTCGAAAAAACGATCAAAGAAATAATGTTTCTGATAGGAAAAGCTAAACGGCTAAAATATGTGGTACGAAAACAATAAAAATCAACGCAGCGCCTGAATAGTTTGAAGGGACTAAATATATATTCGTGTAGGCATGAAAAAGAAGCTTCCTCATTAAAAAGCACAGGAAACTAATCTCGAGGACCTCTTGGATACCAAAGAGTTGTTGAATTGATTGGTAAAGTGGCGAAGCAGAGGAGGATGAAAGAAAGAGAGACAAATATACGGACTTGCACCCAAATGTTCGTAAGGCTTTCTATTTACTCAGGAGGAAATCGCAGAAATGGGTCGGTAAAATAGCAAACCATTACCAAAACAGGGTGACTTTACATAAATATAACTCGAACAACTCCTTTTCTCTTTGAATTTTAAATGTAAGTCCACCAGCATTACACTTGTTTTGTTATATTATAGTTATATTTCTGCACCAACCTTCGTGTGGTGAATAATTTACTCTAACTGAACTACAGAGATTAGACAGACCAATTTCAATACTATTGTAAGTACTGCATCACACAGTTAGAAAATTTATATTATCGTAAAAACATTTTGCTTTCATCCGCTGACAGGTTAGAATGTTTCTTCTTGAGATATTGTGACTCTTGTTTCATTTCATATATTTTATGTTTTTAAGAAGGCTAGCCCTTCGTCGATGTTTATTTTCATAAGTCCGCACCCTTCTATAATCTAGAATGTATCTAGAAATAAACATCTACGATAGAAAGACCATCTTGCAAACACCTATTCACAACCAAGCAAGATATTGTTTTACCTGCTTACACTCAGTTGAGAGGTCATTTAAAGACTTAGCATATCTTAACGAGAACCTTTTTTGTCAATTTTTAGAATTTTTCTTTGATAACCTTAGGTTGAGCCAGGGTTGTTCTATTAGGTCTAGCAAGAGTTTAGCATTAAGACCCCGTTTACACGATGCTGGTGCCATGCCAGTGTAATATGCGTTTTGGTACCCTATGCAAAGTGGTAACATCGTGAAACACAACGTGTTTCAAATAACGTGATTTCATCGTAGTGCGAGGTTATGACACGTTATGAGTAACAAATTGAACACAATGCTTTTCGAATTTTAAATTGCGCACTTGTCAATCACGCAAACTTTGGAGTCACTATTAATGTTGTTCTTTTTTGCATAAACTTAACAAGGAAAATTAGAGTCTAAAAACAAAATATATCATTTGTGATTGTACATTAAACAGATAATACAACGGGCTTTACAATTTTGTCAAAAGGCATTGCAAGAAACAGTGCTCTGAGACTTCAAGGAAAACAATAATTCAGAAAGAAAAATTCTGGCTGAATCTCAATAAATTTGCAGAAAGGAGTCATTTGTGCAATGAAACAGGTGGCTACGCACATAATGTTTTAAAAAATCTTTTACAACTATCTTGCTATGGCTAATTATAGATCGCACAATGGTCGCGTCGAATGAAATTACAATTCAAGTCGGCTAAAACTGAAATAAATTTGAATATTTAGCGGTCTGGGTCGCAAAAATCCAATGCGCCCGCTCAAAAAGCATCATAACGTTAAGATTTGATGCTTAAAGTTCGCCAAAAATATTACGGAAATATACAGCAGTGAACACAGAACGAGCATGGTATAACATAATCTAAAAAAGGATTCTGAAGACAACCAAAAGGAGATTAAATTGCAAAATAATCATACTTAGTAAGAAATAGGGATTAAGATTCTGAAAAAAAGGAAAAAAAATCTGATCACTCTGATTCTATATGAAAAGATATTTATGAATCCGATTTAATAGATTTATGCAAAAGTTTGCTTTCAAAAAAGTTTTTAAATCACTTACCAGCACTGACCTTTTCTACCATCTCGTTGAAAAAGTTGTATAACTACAACAAATATTACAGGAAATGTTTTATTAACTAACTGCAATATCTATATAATTGCAGTAAGGAGAATTTGTTGCCTGGGGCTAACTGCTTGAGTCCGACAAACAATGTTGGCGTTTAACATCAACGGGCTAGGCTGGGATGGGGATGTGACGAGCGATCGATAAGTCCTGGAAGCCCTTTGTACGTCTAGATATTGAAATTGCTACCTTTGAAGCGAGGCCACAGAGGAGCTACCTGAGGCAACGAGCAGCTACCTCTTTCTGAGCTAGGATGAAAAAGGGAAGACTAACGGAGGGGGCAAGTAACATAGAAGTCAGCGGCGCAGTGGGAGCTAATTTTTTGGGAGGAGAGGGCTAAAGGCAATTTCTAAAAAAGTAGCAAAATGTCCGGAATTTTGAAATAAATTTGGTCTTCTAAGGATAGTCCCCCTGCTAATTCAATGTATCCTTGTATTGTGTAAAAAGTGGACAGTTGCAATTGAATCTAGTAGCAATATAACCACAAAGAGGCAAAACAACGGCTTTTTTCCAAGCAGAAAAAAGTGCATACATTTTGTTGGTCCTGCTCTTCCGAGTATTCAATGCTCTCAAATATTTTCCACGTGCATCTTCTTTGCGCTTCCAAGCGTGCCTTGTAGCGTCGAAACCATTTCTGAATCACGACTGATGATCTCAAAGCTGCAGAATAAAAGAAAAATTAAGGATATCAAAAGAGAGGATTATTTTAAAAGTAGACAGAGCAGGGCTGTTGCCATAGGGGCATAAAATCCCGTTGCAAAAACGAAGAGCTTTTCCCTTCAGGGTTGCTATGTCGGCAAATAATGGATGATCCGTCCACTTCGTCGGCAAATGGGACCTGGAAAGCTATTTAAGCATAATAGCTAACGAGACTCCTCAGAAAGAGAAGGTTCTAAAAAGGCAGGCTTGCTAGCAAAATACAATTGAATGATGAACAATTTAGATTATTGGTATTGTGAGCGCTTTTGAACTCGAAACGTTACCATTTCTTATGTAAGATCCAATTTCTTATTAGCAGAAATGCTATCAAACCTTGGAACTTATATCGTTTGGTTCCAGACCCAGAGGAAATGACAAGTTGCCTGCTCTGTCTTCTCTCAGCCAATAGGTTGTCTTGCACTCGATAGAATAGCTGGGGGCAAACGATGTGGTCCTGGGTGGGGCTAGTGGGCTAGAGTGGGAGGTTATTGGTCATACGAATACCAGTTACAGAGGATGCAGCAGTAATGTGGTAGCAGCTTGAAACAGCGTTACCGTCGACATATCAAAGCCCATTACAGCAGCCATCTTCTTTTAGTCGGCTATGTTAGAGAAAGGAAAATGAGACTATAGAAAAAAACTAACGAGGAAAATGAGGGAGAGATTGAGAAGAAAGGGGTTGAGATCAAGTTTGTCTATTTTCATTTTGAAAACAGAAATGTTAAGAGGGCCTGGAAAGCAGGAAGATCTGGAGAGGAAGGATGAGCTTTGGAATAGAGTTTGTGAATATGGTAAAAGACTTGGAAAGGGAGAACACTAGAAGAGTAGGATCATGTTGAAACAGTTGATAAAAGCCGGAACACGGAGTACATTTTGAATATCATTTCCATGTATCATCGCTGAGATATCTTCAACGGGATAAACTGAACAAATACCGGGGATGGTATGATGGACATCGTCTATACCTTTCTACATATGCGCCCTTAAACAGACCTTCACAAAAAAGGAAACCCTGAAAAGTGGAGATAACACCGTCTCTAGTCAGAGCCCTATAAAATACGCCTTGAAGAACACCATGCCCAATAAAAAGCTACTTATCCTTGCAAATCATCGGGAGCAGGTACCACAGAAAAAAGTTCTTAACATGCTAACATTATTTACTAACCCTGAAGTTGAATTCACAGAATATAAAATGCATGTTCCTTTATTGCATTTTACGCGGAAAAATGTTTTATTCTGTAACTGGGAATAGCAAAAATTGAATCTGGTGATTGTTGATCAAGTGTTCCACCCAGTTTATTTGCTTTGTAGTAAAACTAATAAAAAATTTGTTTCTTCTGCAAGTAGTATATCTCTACCAGTAGTATATTCATGATAAAGTGGATCCACAATGTGGGGTTTTCCCAGGATCAAAGATCCTAGGGGTTAATTGATACTTCGAAAAATCAATTTCAACAAATTGATTAGGTGATTGGGTCATCGAATGTGCTGTATTTTTTCTTGTTATATGCTTACATATTTTTCTTAAATTATAGGTAGCTATGCATGACAAATTTCACACAGGTGCTATCTTACATTTTACATTTCTCAAATTATGCATTATCACTAAGTTTCTAGAAGATTCAAGGAAATGATCAATAATTTCCAAGAGAGTTATGAGATGTGATTTTGCAGAGCCCAGAGAATATGACTAGACGTATGGGCTCTGACTGCCACAAAGGCCTGTAAAAACAAACAAAAAATAATGAAGCTACAATAAACCAAAGTCTTGTTACTTTGTCTTTAGCAAAAGTTTTTAGAAGAGAAGAACAATGCTGTATGGGAAGAGAAAATATATAATAACCATTGAACAATTTTCAGAATGTCTTTTTAACACCTTCTAAGTTGAAAATGTCTTTTGAGCATGTAGGGACTTGCTCTAAGTCATTGTTATAGGGCTGGTAGAGCATCTAAGTAGGTCAGGCCATATGGTTCTCGTGGCATAAATGTTCAGAGATGTTTTGTCTTTCCTAATTGAACAATACTTTCACTAATTGATGTGGCTTGAAAAGAGAGTTTTGAATGCTGTCATGGGCACATTTACAGTCAGCTTGGATATGCAAGCTGTACAACCACATTTTAGCACATCACATGGCATATTGCAATGCATGTTGTGAAAACATCATGAATACATAATTATGGCATCTATTACTTCTGGTTAATTTTCAGTTGAATAATAGAATGTGTTGAGTCATGACAATTTCTAAACAATCAAATTGACCTGCAACCAGCTGCATTTTCTTTTATTCAATGAGAAGCAAGCTGCAATGATGCTTGTATAGCTTAAGCTCAAACAAACTTTTGTATAAAAAGTTAATAGCTTGTATTTTATAGACAATTGATCATTTTTCATTTATACCTGTCAGATCAAATCTTCTTCAATCAGAATTAATAAGAAACTCGAAAAAGTCTCTATATTTTAAAAAAACTTTTACAAATTGGTTTGATATGAAAGCTTGCAGTAATCAAAAAGGAACTCTAGACAGGACCTTTTTCATTCTTATTCTGAAGAGTGTCCGATGTAAAGCTTAAGTAGGCTGTAAAATGTTATTTGATGCATATAATGTTCTAAAGTAAAGATCATAACCAGACCAGACTTGAGAAGACTAGTAGCCTTTGACCAGAGATGGGTTTTAGGGGAACCTAACACGACTCTGAACTTGCAAAGCCAGTTAAAAGCTAAAGTCCCTCAGAAAATTTGGAAGAGGGCAATTTGGGCAATACTTTCAGCATCTGGATTGGAAATAAATTGTGAGACCCTAGCGATTTGATCTTCTATGTCCAGCTATTGCATATCAGTGTTGATTAGACCTTACCTACCATACACATGACACACATTTATGCTATCTATGTCTCATTAATCTTTATAAAGTTACATGTATTTTTATATCATAAAATATTGTTTGGCCCATTGTATCACTCCTTGCCAATATAAATTTGCTCCTGCTCTTTTGGAAATCCAGTAAAACATATCCTGCAAAGATTTTTGACTGTGATGTAAAGAAAACATCACATGTAAAACATACCTAGTAAAGAATTGTTAATTAAGGAAACATAAAAATATAAAGATGTACAGTACATCTGATATTGCTGACATTCGATAACATTGTTGCTTATTATCAAATACCTCTATTTTTTTGCTGTTCTACTAAAATATTTATGTTTTAGCATATAAAGAAACTTTGCTCTATTGCTTAATGTTTTTTAACTTCAACTGTGGGCGTATACTGTTAACTAGAGAAGTTTCTGATTTAAAATCGCCATGCAAAAAAGAAAATTTTTGATCGTGGGAGTTTGAAGTATTGCATTACCATGTGGCACTAAGTATTTAAGCAAAAAAGTCCTTGAGGTCAGACTTACAAAGAGCAAGAAACGCTGTGCACTAATCTGTTACATTATTAAAGCAGAGATGATCGCCACGCTACTTATCGGCGAAGTGAATGAAAATCAGTTATGTGACAGCGCGGGATGGATTAGAAAATATGTTTTGCTTGAAAATGCTTCACGCAAAATCAGTTTCAGGCTAACATACCTTCACGATATTGAGCTTTATTCATCCTTTCTCCCTTCAAGGTTGTTGAATTTGTGCACCCCATATCTGGTTTTCACAGCCAAATACTTCTGGACTCTCCCCTACTGCAGTGCTGCATGTGATGTTCGACTTAAGAATGACCCGCCACTGGTATTGACTTACAGCAAACATATTCCTGCAACCAGGTTACATTAACTGACCATCTTACTTTAGTTCAACAGTATCACGGGCTTTACTAGCTTAAAAGTCTCTTTTACTGAGAAAAACTTAATAACTGAGATTTGTTTAGGTTGTAATCGCGTTAATCTCAGGGATGTTTGTGACTCCTTATATGTCATCTAAATGAAGCTCTTGAAGATCAGTTTGTTTTACCCATTTCTCTTTGATATCAATGGCATTTAAGGCCAAAAACACGAACTTTTGATCTCAGCTGTATATAACCTTGTTGCCATGACGTCGGTAAACTAACTTCAAGGAAAAGCAAATAAAATTTAATTTGCAGACAATTTCAACAACATGTATGTCAACCTTCTTTTAACTTTCAGCAAAAGGTTTCATTATTGCGCAGTTAATAGCAGATTATTTGCAAGGCATAGTTATAATCAAATCAGGAAAGGCATCATCATCATCATCATCATCATCATCATCATCATCATCATCATAATCATCATCATCATCAACATCATCATCAATTAAATTAACTAAAGTAAAATTTAATACTTAAAAATGTTCTTTACATTAAAATGACAAATTAGAGCTAAAGCCAAGCAAGCAAGTTGGCAAGTTGGCTGGTACAATCGGCCCTATTTTCAAAAGGGCAGCGGAAGCGACGGACATAAATTAATATATTTTTATTGTGTTACAGTATTCGTTTAGTTTCTTCTCGAAAATATGTACGTATGTACCACACACTGTATGTATGTATACATATGAAAATATGTACACAGCCGTGTCTCGTTTTCGGTATTAGAAAATTGTTTTAACATCATAATTATAGAGCCCAGAATTAATTAGGCTATAAGGAAACTGGTCACTGTGATTTTTCTCTTGAAGAAGAAATAGACTCGCAGGGAAAGAAAGTGGATTCGGATTAGAATACACCATAGTACGGATGACAATAATTTGACACGGTATCCATATAAGGTCGTCCTGCGATAAATCTCACAGTAGATCCGTTCTTCTTGCAGCTATAACACGTCAATCTCAAAATTGGAAAGTAATTGATGCTTTTTCAACCCGCCACTTCTATGATATCGTCCCAAATTGCTCTTTTGCTGCTTTCGCTAAACTTTTATCTTTTAAAACAGGCCGGTTGTTTTCTTTGATTGTCAACGACGAACAAAATATCAAACAGGTTTGGAATCTTTGATAATCTTTTCCGCTCATACCCAGTGGAGTAGCTTGACTTTCCAGACTTGGAAACGTAGGGTTGCCTGTTGTAAAATTCACAAAACTTTGACGCAAAGTCTAGCTACACCAAAGCTGATTAAAACTAACTAATTCAAATTTCCATCTCAAAACATAAATCATACATAACCAATGTTGCACATGTATGTATAACATCAGATTCTTTCAATCTTTTTTGAAGGAAAACGCTAAAGGAATCACTTTAATTGGTTAACTGACAAAACTTGAAAAATGGTTTTTGCTTATCCCGTATGCTGTATGAATCAATACATCTTTTGCATTTCAATAATTTAATTTTTTCTCTACCGTATTAACCAGAGCAGATATGAAGTATAACAGCATTTAAGGCCGATTTCCATTAGGCGAATTCTTTCGCGCGAATCGAATTTTTGCCAATGTGAGCATGCGTGGTGTAATGTTCTCAGAATTTGCAGAGAAAAAATTTGATTCGCAGAGAGTAGATCACGGTCCTACTCTATCGCTTCGAATATTTATTCGATTCGCGTGAAAGAATTCGCCTAGAGGAAATCGGCCTTTAGACTCAAACTGTGTAGCGTAACAGTAAAAAGTCAAAATAGCAGCAGAATAGCAATAGCAAAGAACAGGGAAATGCTGTTATTGTCAAGACATAAACAAAGTAGTTGAAGTCTTAATAAATAATGGATTGTAAGAATTCACCGAAGAAAATCAATGGAACGAGGACACCCAAGGGAGATTTTTTAGACGTACTATCCATTATTTACGATGTTTTACTAAAAGTACGTAAATGACACGAATTTATTAATAAATTCAGGTACATGTGGTAAAATTCTGAAGATTGATCTACTTGGAATTCAAATCACTCCTCGTATTGCGGGAGCGCAGGCAAAAAAATATGTTTGGATAGAAGGGATGGGCAATACATGGGTAGATTTTAAACCTGTGATTAATAACATTGTCTTATGAACTTGATAACCAAGGTCAGTAAGTGTGGATTGCAACTGCAGGATATTGTAGAGTTTTGCCTTTTTATGCAGGTGATCCAGTATACAGGTTGCAGGGAGAAAAAATGTGCGAAAAGCTTTTCAAGGATATATGATATTAAATTCAGATAAGCCAGAAATACTAACTTCGAGATGACTTTATGGTTAAACTGCTAACATATATTTCTCCAGTGCCAGACATGGGAAAAAGGATTTGGTTCTGTAAGACCTTTGAGCAAATAGTGAGAGAATATCTATTCGAAAACAGAACACCACTCTTCAGAACTCCATCCGATATAATCAGAAAATTTAATCTGCAGCACATTATAATATGAAGATATTTTTCTCATTTTTTACGCTCTATTACAAAAAACAATGTCTTAGCTTCGTCTATGGTACATCAGATCACCGGCTGAATATTGAGACCTTTCGACATACTACAATATAAAAAGGAATTATTTTACAATGGTTGCGATCAAATGACGTAGAAGAAAAAATACATGTTATTTCTATTTGCCAAGCACAAGAACTTTTGAGACTCAGATATATCCATCATAAAGATATATTTCCTGACAGTAAGCAAAATTATTTTCTAAAAAAGACTGAAGTGAATTGACAAAATTTGTTTACTCAATAAATAAGCCGTATATGTCAAAACTGCGAATTCAAATGAAGCGAAAATTTTACAGAAAACGCAGCCAGGCTACTGTGAATCATATTGAATGGTCGCAGAGAAGACACCAAGTTAACGTTCCTACGTCTAATCATTGCAGTGCTTTCTGTTAATCTTTATGGCCTTCATGTGGCTATTTTATGTGAAAGAAAGAATAAGTTCATAAAAATTTATGTTTACTAAAAAAGACCTTTCCGGGACAAAGCTAGATTTTTCAGACTTCGTGTAGCAACTTTGAATTTGCCAGACCATGGCTGCACAGATATAGGACGATTAATTGCCATATAATTTTTAGCTCCACCTTCCACGTCTAGTTCAAACGAACAATACTTAGATTCATAATGTATCTGACGAATGCCGGACAATTTTTAACTTTTTTGCTTAATCTAGCAGAAAAAGGCTAAAGAGTTGCGAGTTCTTCGGTAAAAAACCAGTAACATCAAGAGATTAAACCACTAAATCACTAAAATATAACAAGTAAGGTAACTCACGAGCTTTAAAGCGGATTCTTGACGGATCTTGGACTTGAGTATGAGCCTTGGGCGCGGCAAGTGTTTCTGGACTTCTACTTCGACAAAAACGTCAAATCTCTTTCACCAACAATATTGCTCTCGTAGCGGTTGGCCCCTCAAGACTGACTCCACCCTAAAGCTGGCACTCTGGATATGACTGTATATTTGGATTAGTGTCCAATTAGTGTCCTAGAATGATGATATACATAAAATTAACCAATGAACATTAAGACAAGGATAAAAGATCAAAAGAACTGTTAAAAATTATCAAATAAGCAGCAAAGCAAGCATCAAGCGAATACATGAAAATGAAATGATTAAAACGTGATCGAAGGTCACTTCCAACGTAACGGTGCCTCCATTGCGTAACAAAATGTCACCTCGTCAGAAAAGCGCAGGATTGAGCCCCCACCCCCTTAATGAATACCAGATTTTCCGCCATCGGATCTCCACATTGCGGGAAGTAGTCCTTATGGAATCTATGATTAGTTTCATCCATGATATTACAGATGAAGACACTCTGTCTGCCATGGGCCATGTTGATGACCATCTTTAAAGCTTTGTTTGGTGGAAATTACCATTACAACCTCGGCAATGTTTTAAGAGAAAATTAGGACATTGGGCCAAGAAAGAAGAATCACTCGGAATCCTTTTTTTCCTCAAATTGTTATTGCTGCTAATCAAATGTATGTAAAAGCAACTTCTCTCCCCTTGTGTTGTCACCACGATATGAAGAACAGAATTGGGAGTGCCTTTTTTTTGGAAGCAATATGAATAAAAAAATTGTACATAGAAAACAAAGAATTTGTATGCCTTTTTTTAGGGGGTAGGGGGCACTAATCCCTTAACCTTACTAGCAATAATAACTAAAGTCCTGGTATTGTAACTGCTTTTTAGAGGCTGGTGCTTTTGTGAAAACTGGATATTGCTTTAGGTCTTATTTTCGTTTAACTCATCGTGGGACATGGGCGTCACAACAATCCCTGCATCCCCTGCACTCCAGTGGGCGCAGACGCTTAGGGTGCCAGGAGCTTTGTATATAAAATAATTTCTATAGCTTTTTCTGCCTTCGCAGGATCATTGCAGGGGGCGTACATGGCATTTGTATTCAATCAATGTGTATATATAATGTTCATTCCATCATCTTTTTACTGCCTCATTTACATCACCTTTTTAGAGGCTATCTTTGAATGGTATCCGTAAGACAGTAACTTTGAACCTTTCCAGAATAAACTTTTTGTGAAAGCCTAACATTTTATACTTAGTGCTAGGCCTATGAATTTTTTTCTGCATTATGGAATTTCATGGTTAACTTTTTTCAATCTCTATCCAAGAAGGTCTATCGACAAATTGGTACGACTTCAAGATAGTTAGTTTCAGTGTTAGCCATATGACTTACAAGACAACTTGAAGTTTTGCAATAGGCTCCCAAAATGATTAGGTCGCATTTTCAGATGCTAATGTTAACCCAACATTGCTTTATTATTTTCTACATAGGCAGGTCCAGCACCCTTTTTTCCTGGAATTTGCCGTTGGAGGCATTCTATCGCAACGAGGCAGTGATTGCACCCTGTTGCATATTTTTCCACTGCCCTTCAACCAACACATTGGCATGTCTACTTAGGAGGGACTCAGTTCATTCTAAACTCAGACCATAACCCTTTGACGCATATTCGTGAACAAAAAGACCCTCGTGGATGCCGCTGATAAATGCCAACCGTTATCTGACTATCTGACTTCGAAAACAAAATTTACTCCAAATTTCCTTTGATCCGTTTTCTGCAACGGATTTCCTTTGAATACATAGTCAGATAACG